ATATATATACACATAATATACATATATATTAAATATTTTAATTATTTAAAATTAATTTATTCTGTTATTAAAATAACATTCAAAATATTCTGGATGTATAGAAAAATGAAGTAATATTAATTTGTATTTTTTTAGATATCGATGAATGCGAGATCATGCATGGCGTGTGCGGTAATGGCACTTGTAGGAACACGCCCGGCAATTTCCAATGCGATTGCAATCCTGGCTATCGCAGTAGTGATATTATGAAGATTTGCATGGGTACAGTAAAAAAAATTTTTTATCTGAAAATTTTTATTTTAATTTAATTTATTTAATGTATAATTTATTGTAAAATTTTTCTTTGATTTGAAAATAATTTTAGGATGAAATACAAAATATTTCAGATATAAACGAGTGCGAAGAAACGCCAGGATTGTGCCGTGGTGGTATCTGTATTAACACTGAAGGGAGCTTTAACTGCCAATGCCCTCCGGGACACGAACTTGGGCCCGACAAGCAATCGTGCAAGGACATCGACGAGTGTTCGAGAACCAGTGGTATATGCTCAAACGGCGTTTGTGAGAATATGATGGGAACCTATCAATGCATCTGCGACGATGGTTATCAACAGACAGGCTTGAGATCCCATTGCGAGGACATCAATGAGTGTGCGATTGGCAACGGTGGCTGCGAGGACATTTGCCTAAACACTCCGGGCAGCTTCTCTTGTTCCTGCCGGTAAAGAATTATTTTTTCAATGCATGGATAAAGTTTTAGAATTATTATCGATATTTAAATCCTAATCACACACACGCATTCGCGCGCGCGAGGATATGGTAGAATTATAAAAATAAATAAAGTAAAAATTGGGAAAAGAAAATATAATACCGGCAGTAATCAAAGGACAATGGATTTTGATATTGACCAAAATTCTAAAAATATTTTTATTCTATCTCTGTCAGATCGTAGTACTGAGAAATTCTTTTACCATTTATTAAAAAATATATTACAGCTGGTTCAATTATTTATAATTTATGGATAAGTGCTTATAATCATTTAAATAATTATACACATACTATACACATTGTATCGTAATTATTATTTAAAGAATTTTGTGGATCAAAATTGATATTCAAAATATAGAAAGAGGGACATGCAAGCAAATATTTTTCATTATAGAATACGCAATTATCATTTTACGCATTATCTTGCCGAATATGTTTAAAAAATTATATGATTATGATAAACGAATTGAATTTTTTTTTAAATTATAAGTAAGAAGTTAGATAATGTAAATATTAATTAAAATAATTGCATATAACTTATTTATATATTTAACTTTTTATTTTAAAGTATAAAATTCTGCATAATTGGACACCATGTTATTTGATATGTGTTTACATTTATGTCTGCGTGAAAAAAGACGTAGACGAAAGAAGGATTCCACTCCTCTTTCTACACACTCCGAAAAAAATCCTAATTTAACCTAACCTAATTCAATCCTCCAAATGATAGAAACTTTATTTATTTATGAAATTGTTTTCTTTTTTTGTTGTTAATAACTCTTTAACAAATAACGAGCAACAGCTAAAACTTTTTGAACGTTGTTCGGGATTATGACCTTGACAACAGAAGGTCAAGGTCAAAGTCATTGAAGCGGAGTTCTCTTCGATATATTTGTATAACAAAGCTAATTGAAAAATTAGATTATAATGGTTTATAATTTTTTTCGCGAGGCAGCACCGGTTACGCTTTGAATCTGGATGGTCGAACGTGTGTGGATGTTGATGAATGTAAGGAAAATCCTCGAATCTGCAACGGAGGTAAATGCCGGAATATACCAGGCGGTTACGTATGCAATTGCACAAACGGCTTGCTACCCGGAAGAGACGGTATATCCTGCGTAGGTAAGTTTTTTATCGTTTATTATCGTGTTGAAATTATCTACTGTTTACACTTCGTTAAATTGTCAGATGTCGATGAGTGTGTGACACAGCCAAGCATATGCGGATACGGCGAGTGCTACAATACGATCGGCTCTTTTAACTGTCGTTGCGAAGAAGGATACTCAGTGAAACCTGCAGAAGGACCGGCATGCACCGACGATGACGAGTGCCGTTTAAACGCTTATTCCTGCAGCGAGTTCGCCGAATGCCAAAACACCCAGGGCTCATACGTGTGCACCTGCCATGAGGGTTTTACCGGGAACGGAATCGAGTGCTGGGATATCAACGAGTGCTCTACAAACAACGGCGGCTGCGACTCCAACGCACACTGCATCAATACTGAAGGTTCTTTCAAGGTATCTATCGGTGTAATTTGTGATATCAAGCCCGATAGATAGATATTCCTCACAGTCGCTCGCTGTTATACATTGAATTATAAAGCTTAAGTGAATATTAAAGTGTTTGATGGAGTCATTTTGAATATTTTGTAGAGTTTCTTTTGGTGTAACCGGAGAAAATAGACAACAATAGAGGCTATTCCAACGAGATATATTATAATTTTATCTGCCAGATATTGTGGCGTTAATTTACTTCGTTAAAACTGTTGTTATTGTTATTGTAGTGCGTATGCGATGCTGGCTTTCGGGGTGACGGCTATAACTGCAAGGACATTGACGAATGCGCGGAGGATAACACGCTCTGCGAAAACGGGCACTGCCTGAACTATCCGGGTGCTTATCGCTGCGAGTGCGAGATGGGCTTCATGCATCCGGATGAGCGTAACGAGCAAGCATGCGTAGACATCAATGAGTGCGAGATGTTTAGCAATCTCTGCGTTTTCGGCCATTGCGAGAACATCTTCGGTATGTTTCGCTGCGAGTGCAACGAAGGCTACAAGCTCGATGGTTCCGGCGGCAACTGCACCGACGTGGACGAATGCGAGAGCCCACAATCCTGCCAATACGGAGTCTGTATCAACACACAGGGTAAATACATCTGCAGATGTCCACCGCATCACGAATTGGTGGAAGCCGGAAATGCCTGTGTCGGTACGGTTTCTTCACTGTTTGGACACTTTATACTCTTCGCGCACAAGTTCTTCCCCCAGTTCTTACAATTCTTTTTCTTCTGATTTTGCATCGGTCACACAGATAGACGTGAATCGCTTTGCTTCACGGGCTACGAGCACGGTACCGGACGGCCCCAGTGTGTCTTTGAAGTATCGTCATCGGTAACGAAGGCCACGTGTTGCTGCAGTATTGGTACCGCTTGGGGTAATCGTTGCGAAGAATGCCCGCAAGTCGGCACGAAGGAATACGAACAACTGTGCCCTAGCGGGCCAGGATACAGGCCAAATCGCGTGACTGTCATTCTAGAAGATATCAATGAGTGCGAGGAGCATGAAAACATTTGTCAAAACGGCCACTGCACCAATACGTTTGGAAGCTTCATGTGCTCCTGTAATGAAGGCTTCATCCTGGATGATTCTAAGACTAGTTGCATCGGTAATGACATACCTACTATTCTCGCGCTACATTTTACGTTCAGTTCATATGATTCATAGTTCTCTAGAAAAACATCAAATATAATCTCAAATTTTTTTAATTTAAATTTTTAAATTTTAATATTCTCATTTAATTATTATCTTCAATTAAATCTACACATTTTTAATGTCTTACGTGCTTAATTAGTAACATATTTAAATAATATAAAAAAATTATTGCAGACATAAACGAGTGCGCGTTGCATCCACGAATATGCGGCGTAGGATATTGCATCAATGATCAAGGAAAATACCATTGCGAGTGTCCCGAAGGATACATGGCGATGCCCGGAGGAAGTTAGTAGTATATTCAGATACTTAATCATATTTACT